TAGTACGAGTACGATGTCGTGTTAGTAGTTAGTACCGTAACTACTAATACTGGTCGTGTTGGTCGTTACGTACTACTACTACTACAGACGTGTAGTAGTATATATATATATATATATATATATATATATATAGGGGAGTGATTTCATACTACAGTTGTATAGAAATATAATGAAACAATCTTAAAAAATCATGTTAGGGCCATTTGTTTGACCCAAATTTTAAAATATACACTGTTCTTATTCTAATGAACAATCACCAAAAGAAAGAACGATTTGAAAACACAACCTAAAAAGTGTTTTTTAGCCCAATTAACATAGGCCGTCTATTTTGGTGAGATACTTAGATCTAGGCCTTAGGAGGATCTTTTTTTCGTTTCAAATTTTCTAGATAATTTTATTATCATTAGATTAACAATGTTAAAAAAAAGAAAATTTTGATTTTAAATTCATAAAGGCCTAGATTTGAAATTTACTAAATAGACGGTCTAGATTCATAGTTGGAGGGGACTCATTGTGGCCATATATAGGGTGCAAATTATTATTATTATTTATTTAGATTGATTACTGTGATGAAGAGAGTGTGTACAAAATTTTGGGTTATACAAATACTACAAACATAGTTTTTTAGAATTGTGGTTTCATTATATTATAATGGCATGGTGACATATTATTTCCCATATATACATATATGTATATATACAAATGCACACACACACTTACCATTATCATCGTCAAAGCCTTTTTCCAACTAACTGGGGTTGGCTACACGAATCGTGGTCTGTCTTTATGCTCTATTAAAGGTCATACCCTTAGTGGGGCCATAAAGCCTATTTTCTTACTACTTTCAACCATATCCTTTTGGGCCTACCACTTGCCCTTTTTGAGCCTTTTACTTGAACTAACTCACACCTCCTAATAAGTATTATAGTGGGTCTACGCCACACATGGCCAGCCCACTTAAGTCTACTATCTCATCTTATCGCCTATTGGTGCCACACCTAAAATTTTTTGAATGTATTCATTTTCAATTCTATCATTTATTGTCTTGTCGCTCATCCATTTCAACATCCTCATCTCTCCATGGGTATATTGTTTTTTTTTTTACTGCTTAACATTCCACCCCACCCCATAGGGCAAAGATGGTCTCACACCTTTCCTATAGAACTTATTCTTCAGCTTTTTTGGTATGCGGCGATCACATAAATTTCGGTTTCACATCTCCACTTCGCCCACCGAGCTCTAATTCTATGTGCGGTATCTCCTATAATCTCTCCATTTTCTTGAATTATTGACCTCATATATCGAAAGTGCGTTATATATGTATTCGATTGAAGCTTTAGGTACTTTATTTAAAAACCTTTCCAAAGCTTTTAATGGAAAAAGTTTATATAAGGTTGCAACTTTTTTTTTTTTTGACAAGGTTACATAGGAGTGGAACTTTAGATGTAGTGCTATGAAAACCCAGCTGCTACGGCCTTGACCCAAGCCCGATTCCTGCAACCTTAAAATGTAGAAGTAAATGTGCACCTCAAAAATCCATTGTAAAAGTATGTTTGGTTGGTGGAAAACCCTCGAATTGATCATCTCGACACCGAGATGTATGAATATGAAAAGAAAAAAAGATTTCGAGTCGGCAAAGTAGTGTATCTTTTAACACATTATCTGGACCGTCCATTTTCAAGATTTTCTTGTGTTTATAGATCTACTTGATTTGAATCATTTTTAGAGTTTAAAATTTTATAATTAGAGATGACAATAGATTATGAAGCCATCATATCAAAATTACATTTATGATAAAGTTTACAGGTGCGCCTTAATTAGATTGTTTAAGGTTGCAAACTTATGCAAGCCACACCAATGTTTTCAATGCTTTCTGGTTTTGTAACGCATTTTTAAATTAATTTCACATTGTAAATATGTAGAATTTTATGTAAAAACTTGGAAAGTTGACTTCTTTACAGTTCCACCTGCAATTTTTTAGGCTCTGAGGAGCTGTCTCATCTCTCTGTAACATTTAGATAAGTCTTGGTGACATGCAGCTTGCATTGGCGTACAATGATGCTTTAGTGGTTGGAAGATTGGGCTGTCCTAGAGGTGATCTCATTCAACGTATATTTCTTGCTGCAATTGGAAAGAGAGTGGAAGAGACTCTCAAGCATTGGCAAGGACAGATTGGTGAGCCATTCTCTCACTTGCTCGAGTATTTGGGCAAAGGCAACTGGCCCCTCATGCAACCCCAACATGCCATCAGAGATTCATTGCTTCTCTCCTGTTACCTTCAATGGTTTAATGTGCCGCCTTCCTTTGTGGTGAAGTCATCACTGGGAAATATAGGCTCTGAAATTTTGTTAGCTGAGTCCCCTGTACATAATGTTTCTTTGCCTTTGTTAAGGTTCATGTTCCCAGATACTCACATTTATGCACTTGGGGAGATCAGTAGGTTATTGACCTGAAGTTAGAAGGGACCTTGTATGTTGTCTATTCAGCTTTCTAAAGAGCTTTAAATTTAATGTGCAGAAATTATCATGGTATGTGTACTGTTCAATTCTCTCTCTCTCTCTCTCTCTCTCTCTTTTGCCCTTGATGAAATAGACTGGCATTACATATCCATTCTTTCGTCCTTACCAAAGTGTAAAGCATCTAAATAATCTTCTTGATAAAAAAAAAGAACCTAAATAATCTTAGTGGAGGGAAATCCTCATCTCAGAAGTGTGCAGTATTTTCTAGTTCAAATACATGGAAAGTTATTACATTTGGGTTGTGCATTTAGATGTAAGCTTCGTGAAAGCATCATCAACTCAGAGATTCTGAGCTTAATATAGACCTTGTTGCCATTTTTGTAGTTTTCAATGTAATTTTGCAAGATTATATGGATTTTCACAGGTCTTGAGTGGTACAAACAGTTCTAATCCCGGTCTGATGTCTGATTGTAAGTTTCAAGGGCTTGTTTTGGCTGCACTATTGAAGCAGCTTATGATCAGGAAAATTTGCGATCTTGGGCTTCTATCAAATTTTCCCATATCAAGGTCCCAGCATTGCCCGGGGCCCATTTGGCTTAGGTGGATGATAGTTAGAGGTGAGAGACGAGAGAATTGGATAGGGACGGATTGGAGAGGGAGTAGAGAAGAAGCATTTTGGACTACACCTTTTCCAAATTCAAATTGTCTCACAAAAATCAGTCGGTTTACATTCCAATGCATGTGACAGTGGTTATATTGCGGTAGAACTGATTCCAGCACATGGGCGGTGATTATATTATGAGAATGTCACAACGTGAGAGTTATCCCAGCAGGTTCTACGTCTTCCATTGTATCAGAAATCTTCTTTGGATATGCAACTTGTAACGTGCTTCGGAGGAAAGAACACTCTGAATATGAATAACCACTCAAAGAAAATGGTATGCCTATGGATAGCTAGTGAAGCCCAGAACATTAGTTGAAAAAATTAAATAAATTTATAGCTTTATGTACTTTTTCTTTCACTTTGTGAAATCATGAAGTTTGTTCATCGTACCCTTGGGAATGGGAATCACAGGAATCAGGCACTTTGTTTGGTGGTTAGAGTGTTGAAGATTGTAGCACAATATTCCAGGTTTAGATCCATTGTGTTGACCTACCCATGTACTGCATTGCTGGATATCATGGTAAAACGATGGCAACGGTAGATCTTTTGAAGCGAGTAAATTAGCAGAAATATATTCTCCATTCTCCATATGTCTAAAGAATTTGGCCAATGAAGCTAGGAGTGGGAATGGGTCGGGTCTGGTCTGCCCCAGACCTGGATTCAGATCTATAAAAAAATTATGAGACTTTGGACCCGATTGGACCTTAAGTTATTGGACCCGGACCTGACCTAAAAATAAAAAATATATATTTAAATATATACAAGTATTATTTAAATATTATAATTAAAGTATAACTATATATTTATGAAAAAGTTTATAGAAGGTTGCAACCTTAAAATGTAGAATTATGGATGAACCTCAAAAATCCATCAAAAAAGGTTGTTTTAATGTTGAAAAGCCTTTTAATTGATTATTTCGACATCGAGATGTATGAATATGAAAAAAAAAGAAAAGATTTCGAGTTCCAGAAATAGTGCATCTTGCAACATATTATCTAGACTGTCTATTTCCAAAATTTTCATATATTTATAGATCTACTTGATTTTAACCATGTTAGGAGGTTACAATTTTGTAATTAAATATAAAAATAGATTTTCAGATAATCCTAAAAAAAATACACCAAAATTACATGCTATGATAAAATTTGGAAGTGTGTCTTAATTGGATTGTTGAAGGTTGCAATTTTATAGAAACCACACCCATATATTTATTTAAGTACTAATTAAATGTTATTAAAATATTAAATATTATTAAAATATTAAATATTATTAAACAATAACACTATTTGGGTTGGGTCCACATGGACCTAGACCCGGACCCGAATAGAGTTCGGGTTCAATATTTGGACTCGGACTTGACCCGCTGGGTCTAATTTTTTGACCCACTAAACTTGTGTAGAACTTACGTGCAAAAAAAATTGGGTACACTGGGTGCAGATACATCCTTTTTGAAGGTTTTGTTGTTACTTTTGTCAAAATTGGTGTGAAGACATTTTCATTTATGTTTGATAGATAACCTAGGGGCCACTTTGGATAGCCCACTTATTTAGAATTATTTTATTTCTTTGCCACTCTTACTTAAAATAGTTGCCGGTATGTTTGGTCTCTCTGGCTAATGAGGAATAAGTACTGCCCCGTCTAATTGAAAAATGCAATCAACTTGAAAAGAAATAACCCTTTGCCTGTTTGAAATAATTTACTGCTCCAATGGAATTAATCATGATAATGAATTAATTATTGATGAGTAATGTCTATCATAAAGTTATTTGAGATGAACCTATATGTAATTTTTAACATATAAGTTTGACTTTTAAATTATATGTTTTTACTTTATTAAAGAAATTTTTTGAAAATCACAATTTTTTAGCCAGAAATAGTTGAAAATAGCTCGCAAATGCCCCCAAAAGATAATTAGATTGTTATATAATACAAGATATGTACCAAATAGTAAACACTATAATACTATCTAGAGTATATTAATTTTAGATAAGAGAAAAACACATGTTTTTAGCAAGAAATAGCTAAAAATAAGGGAAAATGTCTCTATACCTCCATTTTTAAGTTTTATATTTCAATAGACCCAAAGTTTCAAAACATATCTTTAGGTCATAAAAATTTTAAGTTTTATATCTTTTAACTTCCTAAACTAACGTTATCCCCTTTAAATTTAGTTTTTTGCCCCATATAAATATAAGAAAGACATATCATTTCTAAACATCATCATTTCTCTCTTTTCATGTGATTTTTCCTCAATCTCCCTTTTTACCTATTTTTTCACTCTCTCTCCTCCCGTGTCTCTCACTCTCTTTCCTCCCATGTCTCTCACTCTTTTTTTCCCATTAGAAAAATAAAGAGGGTTAATATTAGAGAGATAGAGAGAAATTTGGGGAGAATATATCATGTAAAGAGATAAGAGTCTAGAATGAGCATGTCTTTTTTATATTTGTTAGGGCTAAAAAAATAGTTAAAAGTGTGTAAAGTTAGTCAGGGGTTTCGGAAATATACTTTGAATATTTGGGTCTATTGAAATATGAAAACAAAAAATAAGAGATACGAGGATATTTTCCCTAAAAATAACCGGCAATTGCCTTCAAAAAATAATTAGATATGTTATATATAATACAATATATGTATCAAATAATTAGCAGTATAATGTTGTCAAGAGTTTATTAATATTAGATAAGATAGCCTAATTGAGAGAAAATTACATTTCATCTAAACAAAAACTTATTCTAAAATATAATCCTTTTTTTTTGCCTGTTATTTGAAACAGCAGTAGGGAACTTTTGGTCCACTCTAGCTTAAAGTAACCTTGTTGATCAATTA